CAAAGCACAGTGTTAGTAGGTTAGTGCCCTGGCTTTGAATGTATTGGAGCAAGTTGCCCCATGGAAATGACTTCTGAATAAGTTACAATTCCAGTTTTGTTGGTAGGGCTCATGCAGTCATGCAGGCAGAGTGCAGTTGGCTGCCATGAAAATGCAGGGTTATGTTGTAGTCGTTAAGCAGCTTTTAGATAATCACCTATTATTTAATTAAGTGCCATGAATACTGCTCTGCCTTAATGTGCAGTCCTGAAATACCCCAGCTGGCAAAGGTAACAGCAGGTGGCTGTGGGACAAGGCCTGAGAGCAAAGTGCTGCATGGTTCTGATTATTCTTATCTTACTGCATTTCTGTAGTGCCATACAAAGACATGGAAGCTCAGAGAGGACCTGGAAGAAGATAAGGCAGGGTGGCACCATAGAGCAGAGATTCTCGCTGAGGGTGTGCCAGTGCCCTGCTGTGCTATGAGATCCTTTTAGGGATGCCATGGGATACCCACAGAATAAGCGCTGTTCTGTATGCAAACACCTGCACCCTGATTCACAAGACAAACCCAGACACTTCAATAGGAAACCGTAGTGTCAAAAGCATTCTGACCTGTCATGGGCTTTCTGAGTTCTTTGCAATAGAAGACATGCTCTTTAATTTTTCTGTAGTGAAGAACAAGAGAAAGCTAAGAGCTGGCTTTTTCCAGGGGGTGCCTTGAGTCTAAAAGGTTGAGAACCACTGCCTTAGAGACTGTCATATAGTGAGGTACAGGATTTTGCAGATGATAGCCCACTTCGTCAGAAGCCATGAATGCTGTAGTCTGTTCATAGCATCTGACAAAGTGGTTTGTCACTAACAAAGCGTATGTCTCTCTACCAGTTAGCCTGTAAGGTACCACCATGCCTTTCTGTCTCCCTAACTTCCGACTAACACAGCTAACCACCTCTCTCTTCTCAAGGAGGAGAGACCCTGTCTCTAGAATCTCATATGAGAAGTTTCCCACTGAACAATAATGATTGTTCCTGCCTCTGATCCTCCTGACATCCGTAGTTGTGTGGTTGGTGGTAGAATTGCCCAGCTGGGGTCTGCATTTGACACAGCAGAGGAAGAAGCAGTAGCACAGTGTGGAGAGCAAAGGGTTACATAGGAAAAGAGCAAGAGCCTTGCAATTACTTGTGAATCTCTTTAGCTCTGAGTGTGTGTGTGAGCTTGAAGAAGACGCAGTGAGGGTGTGTGACAATTACCAATGGAAATTGAACATTTGTTATGAGTTAATATATTCTGGTTATCTGAAGGGAGATAAATCCAGTGGCTGCTCTTGCTGCAGCGGGGAGGGGAGCTCAGTGTAGCAGTGGGCTAAGAGGGGTCTGCATTGCTGGGAGGGGAAAGTTAGCACTGGGAAGGGGCTCCCTGAAAGGAGACTTACAGATGGATTGGAAGGCAGGTGCACAGGGGGCTCATCCTGGCAGAGTGGACACTGTGCCATAACCCTGGATTGAAGAAGCCTTAGGAACAGAGGACTGGTCTTCTCCAGACAAGAGGGGCCAAGTCCCCAGCTGCCCCAGAGGGATATGACTTTGCTCACCTGCTGTAAATGAGTCCATGTCCCCACAAAGAGCCTGCCAATCCTAGGAAACCAGGCTGCATTTAAGTATGGGTGCAGTGCTGCTGGATAACCTTCGGGGGAATCTAGCTGTGACTGACAGTTGTGGGGCAGCGATATCATTTACAAACACTATTCCGCAGTGAATACTGATCAGTATGCAGCTGCCATGGGAGATGTTTGCCGTATGCTGGTACTGGAAGGTTTGCTGTATATATCTGGGGTTAAGTTCACTAGCAGGAAGATAACATGATGGAACCAGATACAAACCCTCTGGGTAGGCCAGGCAGGAGGTGAAAAGACAAAATACAGTCACAGCTAAATAGCCTCATCAATTTTCAGACCCAGCCAAAGGAAGCCAGCTTAATTTAAGATTAACCAATGCCTTGTTTTTAGAAATCTGGCCAGTCACTGCATTGAGTGTTGAGCTCAGAGGCTACAGAGCAGAGCGGGGATTGCTCAGGTCCATATGGGGCGGTAGGTTGAGGTCCAGTCAAAGAGCAGGAGAATTATAGGAGATGAAAGCAGGAGGACTGGCACTTGAGGGGTGTCCTCAGAGACCAAAGGGGAGTCCCACATGCAGCTTTCCCTGAACTCTGACACTCGCTAGCACTTCTTTGAACAAAACTCCCCAGTCTACACAAACTGCAAAGCCCTGTTCAAAATCTGATAACATTCAAAATCCAGTACCATGCATTAGGTAGTGTCTACATGCAAACAAATGGAAACAGCTGAACCCTTGGATTCCAGGTGGAGTGGCTTGCTTTGGTTTATGTACCCATAACTTCCTGGCTTTAAACTGGAACAAGCCTGACTCAAACCAAAATAAGATCACCTCTGTGGCTTTTTGCAGTGATGCAACTAAACCAGATTAAAATCCAGCATTTGCACTCAAGACAGATCCCAAATCAAAATCTTTCCCACCCTCATTCCTCCCCTCAACAGTGTTTAAGTGGCACAGTGCCTGGCTTGCTATGGCAGGTTTGTCCACAGCAGCACTCAGGAGTGCAGGTGGGGGCCAGGACCTGATGCTCCAGGCACTAGTATACATAGGACAAATAGTCCCTGCCCCAGAGTGCCAATTTGGCAGGCACTCCCCTCTGACATGCCAATTCTGCCAGGCCTGCACCTGACCTGCCTCTGGCTACAGTGATGTCCTCCTCTGCTAGTCCAGTGCATTAGCCTTATGAGCCAGTTCTTTGTTGTTTCTTACTTTTTTTACATTATTTTCATCTTTTCCCTGCTTTCTTGCACCAAAAACAAAAACAAGCAAATAAAAAAAAAATCCCTCTCCTTCTTATATTTAAGGACTCTGTGCTTCAGCATTGCCTAACAAGTCTGTGGCTTAATTACAGCACATCCTGAGAGCACAGTTTCATTCTAATTTGCTTTAGAGCCTCTAGGTTTTCATGTTTATGAGCAATTCAAGCCAACAGCTATGATTTCTAATGGGAGTCAGGAGGGAATGTGGTGGTTTGAAGCCTGGGATTTAAATCCTTTGCCAAAGTGGTTTATGAGCTAAATCCAGTGGATGAAAAAGCTTTCAGCTGGGCAGGGAAGGTGTAGTGTAGCTAGCAGAGCTTGGAAGTGAGGTAGTGTGAATGAGTGGCTAGAGCAATTGCCAGTGTTGGGACATTTGGTCTTACCTCTGCCATTTGCCAAAGTAAGTGACAGTGTCTAATGTTACAGTCAGAGTTTGAATATCAGTGATATGAAAGTAGAGATCATTTTGGGATGGCTCCTCATCAGTGCCCTTGTGGCAAATTCAAGTCCTGCAGATTGCTAAAACAGCACCTACAGTTCCTGTTTTATGGCTGGAGAAATCCTATAGACTGGGATCAAGCCTCTTGTTCATCTGCATGGAAATTGTATTTTTGAAGCTGAAAACCAGTCTGGGGCCGCTGAACTGACATATGAAGGCCCCAAGAATAGGAGTGACCTGGAGAATTCATGAACACCAATGAGCTAGTTCTGATCACGTGAAAACCCCCCTCACCTAACACATCCTGTCAAGGGTCTTACACCCTTATACCAGTACCTTCAGAGCACAAGTCACACCTGCTCTGTATGGAACCTTCCCAGTTCTACCCAACCCGCTCTT